GATTGTGATGCTGTATTTCTGAGTGTTTTATGTGCTACAGAACAGGAACCTGCTGTAAAACAGCAATTATGCTGAGTCAGGCTTGATTTTTAGTAATCTTTTCCTGTTAAACCAACAAATCAAATCAAATCAACAATGTTTTCATTGGTGGATTCTTAGTCCACATTAACTGTACTTGTGATTTAAAATGGCACTCTGCACTTTAACGTTCTCTGATGAAAAGATTAGAACATCACCAGGTGTAAAATAAACCCGAAGTGAAGTAAGGCAGTGTGCAAATGTTTTTACACTGCCATCAATTTTGTTTTACATGGTTATGTAGGAAGACATGTTTATGAAAATACTCGAAGAATGCAAAACTGGCAACAGTGTAAAGTTGTTGTTTTAAATAGCCTTTGTATGAACTGCTGTAAAATTTTAGAGTATGATACTGTTTTATTATCCACTTTGGTCTTAGCTTCATTTAAATTAACCAATCATCAGTGACGTCACACTTCCTGAGCTGAAGCCATTTAAAAGGCTAAATTAAATGTTACCCATTTATCAGTCTTCTGCAGAACTCCACTTTAAAATGTTCAAACTATTTTTGAAAAGGTTTACATTTCCAACAAAGCTATGGCAGAGAAGTAAGTTTCTTTAAAAAATATTATTTAATCAGTACATTACAGTTTTATATTATAATATTCTTTTGAAAGCAGAGATTTCTGCAGGGGTGTACACTACAATTTAAGCAGAAAATAGTTTTATCTAAATGAGGCATATCAAAAAACTAAAAGGTTTAAATGTGTTCAGGTTGGTGCATTACAATTAGCTGTAGAGTTTGCAAAATTTTATATAGTTTAAATTAAACGAAGTTGAACTCAAATACTTTGTTTTATGGTGAAATTATGACTTGAAAACAGAATAAAACCGGCGTTAAAATGCTCTCACCAGTGTGTGTCTTGACAGTTAAGAAAATGCTTCCTGCTTTTCTCTTCATTAACTGTAGCAATTAGTGGTATTGAATAGTTCTCAGGTCTTAATGTGTGCATTCAATCCTACATGTGATCAATGAACACGTTAAACTAAATCACAGTAAAAATCACTAATCAATACAACACAGTGCAGAAACAGGACAGAGCTGGTATGGAAGCCTAGTGACACCCCCCAGTGGTGAGGAGTGATCATTTCACTACTTTATAAAAATGTTTAGTACTTTTGAAAAGCGACCAGAAAACTGCATTTTTACTTGAGTCACACTATTTTGTGAAAATAGGCAGAAATATATGTAAGTACCCAAATAAAATTAACAAAAATTTTGAGGGAGAAACATTGTGTTCTGATTCTGTAAACTAATAATTTGGATAGAACAGGACAACACTTCCTTTTTCTACAGAGCAAAAGAAAGTGGAGAGCTAAAAAATGTAAGTGAGTTTCAGGAGGAAGGCAGGAATGATTCACAATGTCGGCAGCGTGAGTAATAGCAGTGGAGTCCTGTGCAGGAGCTTTAATGAGGTGTGAACGCCCCCCTCTCCAGCACTAAAATTTATGGATCATATAATTCAACTGTTCCTGCTCCAACTGCCTTTTTGCTTGTCAGATTGAGCTAAACCATTAATAAGATTAAAGTATAATTCCACTGAAGCAAGGAGAGAGGATATAAAATAGATGTTTGACCAGATATTTCTGACTATTTTATCTTCTGTAAACAGTGTCCTCCTTAAAATACTAAAACACAACTCTAGACTTTAGGTTTACTACACACACGCACATTGATGTGTCAAAAATCCATAAACACATTTTTGACACAGTGAGTGTGTGTATAGTAAACCTAACACACACACACACACACACACACACACACACACACACACACACAC